TTGGACATTTTGATCATTAAGCCCCTCCATAATATTTTCCCTCAAATAAATCCCTTATTTAATGCTAAAATATCCCCAAATTTTGGGGTATTACATCCACCCTTCCTAAAAAGGAGTTTTGTCCCCAAAACTCAAATCCAGGATTGTTTAGACTGATGAATGGCTTCACACAATCTAAGACAAGACAATTGCCCCACCGACTTTCTATGATCAGAACGTGGCCTACTACACTTCCACTGCGCCACTCTGATATCAACCACAACTACCATGAAAACAACACCACCTCAAGAATAGTTCCAAGGTCAAAACATTAACGGAATCAATCAAACTTTCAAGCAGAAAATGACAAATACAGTGATAATCAGACCATCTATCCTACCCTTTTTAAGATAGATGCCGGTGTCACAATCACAAGAACCCAATTTCAACATACATGGCTAACATTTACAAAGGTATTATAGTCAGATTCACTTCACAGGCAATAAGTACTCATCACTACTCTAACAAGCCAATAACAAATCCCAATCTCCACCCTCCCCAATGGCCATTTGGGGGCAGGAGATAACTTCACGCCTCAGCACAAGTAACTACACTCGAGGGTTATCGGCATAATTATGTGGTGCCCTAGACTCAAATCAAGATCTGGCACTTATCAAACACATCATGACAGGGAGTCTAATGATGAGTCCAACTAAAAGATGGAACCCTATCCGAGACGGACAAGCATCACTCGGATATATAGAATCATGAAGGGATGAATGCATGTATAGGCATGTATGAATGAATGCCTTTATGCATGCATGTATGAATGCCGATGTGTGCATGCATGAATGCTCATGTATGCATGCATGTATGCGTGTATATGCTCATGTATGTTTATGTTTGCATTCATGTATGAATGCCCAAATAAATACTTAAACAAATAGGCCTAATGTGAAAGGCCTTATACATCCTACCACAACCAAAACCAAGCATACTATCACAAGGGACCAAGCTTCAAACAAGGTCCTACATACATTCAACCACCACCCAAGGTTAATCAATAACGCGTTATTGGATGGCTAGGCAAGAATCTAAGCAGATAAAGGAAAGAACCATTCCTCTAGAACTAACTCTGAAGCACTAAATACTGTGATGATAACCCATTTAAGCATAGTCCATGGCGGCACAATATTTTTACAATCACGTCAACCAAGGATATTAAGACATAATATAAGCATTAGGCTATCTATCCATAACCAAAATAGGAATATCTCTAAACATATCCCTAGAAGTCGTCACCCCTCATAAAGAGGTGTCCACATGAACTTAAACAAGAAGTTAACAGGTACATTGGTATACCGAGATAACAACTAGCATAAAATTCAGAACTTGAGCACGAGCAAGTGTCAAAGCAAAAATATTTTCGAAGACAGAGCAGAATGGATTCCACTACCAAATATCAAGCAATTTTCTACATTAGCATATGTCAGGCTAACTTCAAGAACTCCACCAGGCATAATTTATATTCGGACATCGACACTCAAGAAACAAAACAAGTGCAGAATCCAAAACTTGAGTAATAACAGATTTCCAGATAATTTAATTTTTTTTTTTTTTTTTAGAATAGGAGCAAGTTTAAACAAAGATATCTGGTAGGCTACTTAACAAGAAAATTTTCACCCATGTGTGAAATACTATCTTCTTTCCTGCAAGAGCATTTGGATATGTACAGAAATTAAGTGGCATCCACCACAGCCTAGACATTGGCATGACATAGGCACGTATAATATATAGACTCAAATTACATAAGGATTTCAATCAAAACATGAAAATTCCTGATTGATCATTATCGCTCCACATCTAAGTTCATTACACGGGCAAACCAAGTTATCCACTCAAAAATCATCAAATATCAAACAGATATATTGAACCAAAATCATAAGATTGAACAAGAGAAATGAACCAAATTAATTACCGTTACAAATGCAAAATAACTCGTTTTAAGTCTGGAACTGGAGCTTACAAGCAAATTCACACACACTGAAATCATCAACAGCTCCAAACACAAATTCCAGACTGTCAGCTCAATTCATTATCCAAACAAAATTTTCCAGAACTAACTCAAATCACTGAGATTTACTTATTAAAATCATCCCTTGTATAACCCATCACTCGTCTCACCACGGTTCTAAAATCCATTGGCTAGCCAAGTCCAAAACAAATCCTAGGTATTTACATAAACCTAGGCTCTCACATCACGAGATCTTAATCAAACCTAAGCTCTGATACCACTTAATCTGTCACGCCCCAGAACCCAAATCCGAGGCGCGACAGACGCTGTGCACTCGTGAGACGGGTCCCACAAGTGCACAAGGCTCGGAACTTACTGAACAAAATCAGTTTTGATACCATAAAATTTCCAATTAAAATCTAA